AAGTGGGTGGGATATATTAGGCAGCAAGTGAACATGTTGTCCCTGAAGCTGATGTGTTGAAAGCAGAAAAAAATGTGCAATCGTAAGGATTTGAGAGACTTTGACAAGGACTAAATTGTTATGGTAAGACGACTGAGTCAGAGCAACTCCAAAACTGCACCTCCTGTGGGATGTTCCCGGTCTGCGGTGTCCAGGATTTACCAAAGTGGTCTAAGGAAGGGAAACCAGCAAACCAGTGACAAGGTTATGGGCAACCAAGGCTTACTGATGCATGTGGAGAGCGAAGGCTGGTGTCATCACAGTTTGTGAACGGGGCTGTATAATCACAGACCAGTCAGGGCACCCATGCTGACCTGTGTCCACAGCCAAAAATACCTACAATGGGCACGTGAACATCAGCACTGGACCATGGAACACGTTTTTTTGCACCTTTTTGATCAGCTAATGTGGGAAGTGGAGCAATGATCTCATAGTGCTCGGTCCTGGATGGGGAGAATAGCATCCGTCAAAAGGTTGGGCTGCCAGGAATATTGTATTACTGTCGCAATCTGCCAGTGGCAATTCTGAATAAGAACGCTCAGACCCGATTACTAAAGTTCACTTGGCGTCCCAAGGGTCATAGATTAGCTCAGTGTACCTTCTATACTTTGAGAGAATCTGAAGGTTTGGGGGTCCCATATCTTAAACAAGGTGGCCCAATTCTCTCAAATCTATACTAAATCATATAGACCACTATGGGTTACTCTAGAAGGTCAGGCTAGTACCCCCTTGCCTATTGGTCTTTTGATATGGGTGCCTTCCAATATTCTAGTCTTTCAGTCAATAGTTACAGTGACATTTGCCCTGCCCACTGTGTCCTAATCAGATTAGTGATTCAGAACAAAGTAGATAAGGAATATTGAAGGCAGATGTTGATGAAGGGTGCTTGCGTGCTGTGCTGTCACATACCAAATATATTTAATGTTCAGCCAGCACAGTACAGATGTTCATGGAATGTCTATCTGTCCTGTTCCAATAATGTTCTTGTGCTGTTTACATGCATTTCACCTCTGTCTGTTAAACCACAAGTACCAGATGGCATCACTGATATTTCTACTGCCTGTGTAGATCTAGCACATCAAAACTGGCATGTCTTCTATCTCAATAGGTCTCACTCTAATTATTATGTGATAACATGGTGCAGAGTTAGAACCCCTACAAGGATTTTACTGCTGTCTGTGATTGGTACATTTGCCTGCACTTCCTCTTCAAGTCTTGGGTGTCAAAGAGAAGAGCAAGTAAGTGACAATCTTCCCAGTGGGGATCACACCACAGTAAAATCTTAAGATGATCAGTCCCTTCCTCACTGTTTCCAAAATTAAAAGCAAATTCTCAAATAAAATGAAACTTTTTTGGCTAGAGTGTACAGGGAGAAGTACTTAAAGAACCTACCACATTAAGCACATTTGTCACTGGTTTAATAGTAGTTGATTTTTTTGGGGGATATTGGGCAATATAACACACATAGATCAGTTGGGTGCAATAGCCAGTCAAAGTCATTAAGCTACTGAAAGACGCAGTTTAAAAAACTGGAGTAGGGGTTACAGGGGTTTTGAGGAGCCGTCACATGTATAGTAACATTGCATGGAGGTCTTCAAGTTCTGGGTAGTGGCAGCTTGAGCCCTACCATGTTTGCAATCTAAACAGTGGCTACTGCCTGCCTGGTGAAAATGGAACTTTTAAAAATAGGAAAGGGATCAAAACACAGTTATTATTTTCCAGAAAAGCTAGCAACTTTAAATCAGATAGCACAATCTCCTTTAGATTTACCAACATCTATGTAATTTGATAGTCTGTCTGATAGCATTTGAATTAATGGGGCGGTTTCTGTGCGCTTAGCACTTAAAGTGGAAGGCAAATCAAACCCTAGCTAAGCCTAAATCTTTTTTCCCACCCCTATTCTAAGCCTATTGTATCTACCCTGTAAAAGGAAAGATGCCTATACTTACCTATTCTAAAGTCTCTCCAGTCCAGTCACATGACCTCTCCAACTCTGGCTTAAGTATAGAGAAGAGATTTCCGGCTGCAGAGCCTGGGTGATGACATCACCCATAGGCCTACTATGGGGCATCCATTGATGGCTGTCCCTTCTCTATGCTGAAGCCGGCACTTGGGACCCGATCGTGTGACTGGACTGGAACGACTTCAGAATACGTAAGTATAGTCTTTTTCCTTTTTACAGGGTCGATAAAATAGGTTTAGAATAGGGGTTGGAGTAGATTTAAACTTAGTTAGGGTTTGACTTGCCTTCCACATTAACTGTTGGAGATTTACAATCGAATTGTAATGTGCATGGTAGGCTTTAGTTATACCAGTATTTAGACAGGCTTCCATAGCATTCTGACCCTGCAGTTTCCTATTATACAGTAATGCTTTTGAAAATTGAGTACATTTAATTTTCAAGGTTTCATTTTGTACTTCAATACAAAGATCCCCCACCTGCTCTGCAATTGCTCCTTTAATTCCCTGAAGACCTAAAGATTATGTTTGCTTGCAGCATATCATCTTCTATTATGCTACTAGGGACTTAAACTAAAAGCAACAAGAATATAACATCATTCAATGTTTTTCTCCAAACCCCAGAATAACCTGACATGTAGAACTAAGCGGTGACCTGGTAATAAAAGGCCAAATGATGAGCCACAGGAGCCTTAATAGTGAGGTTTGCAAGTCTCTAGAGCACTTCACAGGAGGAATGCTCAAAGTACTGTTCACCTTTCCAGCACTTAAAAACACTCTCACTTGTTATTTGAAGCAGCACAAATATTTAATAGAGTATAGCAAAACTGAAATATCACATAGGGCTTCAAATCTGACCTTCTTTCTGTGTTGAGTTTTCACCTGTACCAAGTGAGCAGAGCCTGGATTTTGAGTCATCTCAGAGGTTTTTTTGCCCACCTTACTGCTAAGACTATGCAAACCCTAAGCTTTGTATTATATCAATTTATTTCCAAATATTTGCATATTTCAGGAGAATGTCATTTACTTAACTATAGATTGCTTTTTGACATGTTGGTTTCAGAACTTTGTATAAATATATATATATATATATATATATATATATATATATATATATATATAATACTCCCGTGCTGTAAGCTGACTGAAAAGAATATACTGTAAAATGCATTGCATATAGAGCATTCATACAGTTTAATAAAGCATGCTATTAAAAATATTCCAGGCAAGCCGCCTTCATTGTTGTGGCAGCATTGAATGATGACCCATAATAAGGCTGGTGCTGCAGGAAAATGTGTGCTTACTATTCCTAGCTTTTCCAAATGAATATGAAAATAGAGGAAAATTGACATCAACTTGTGAGAAGTGGCTTTTCTACATTCAACCCAATTTACTTACCTGCAGTAGATGCTGAAACAAATTTGACACCAAACAAAATGTTCAGTGCCATGAGTTGTGCCTGTTCATCAATTTGCCTGTAAATAGAAATGGAAGGGACAAATGTGACTTAAATGCTACACTTTAGATTTCAGATCCTGAACAAATCTATTTCTGATGCATTACAAACTCCTACGACTACCTTGAGGAAATGAATGTATGACGTGTGTCACACATGTACATCATTTGATAACTAATAAGTGCATAATTTTGAAAGCCAAGGCAGCTCAAACTTCTCTATTCACAAGACAATGTACTGATATTGATTTGAAGCAGATAATCACACTGTAGCGTTTAAATGTGCTTCATTTGTTAGTTTGCTAAGGATTCCAACTAAATGTATTTTCTGCTAGTTTAAATCATATCAATTAGTAAGGCTATCCTTTTTTTTATAGACTGTGCATATACATGGATATATTGCCAAAATTCACAGGGAAATGCCAACTCCTGTAAAAGTTGAAAATGACAGTATAAGTAAACCCTCACCTTGTAAAACAACCAATTCAATTTAAAATAGAAATGAAAGGCAAAACATATGTGTGTATATATATATATATATATATATATATATATATATACAGTCAGGTCCATAATTATTGGGACATCGACACAATTCTAACATTTTTGGCTCTATACACCACCACCATGGATTTGAAATGAAACAAACAAGATGTGCTTTAACTGCAGACTGTCAGCTTTAATTTTAGGGTATTTACATCCAAACAGGTGAACGGTGTACGAATTACAACAGTTTGCATATGTGCCTCCCACTTGTTAAGGGACCAAAAGTAATGGGACATAATAATAATCATAAATCAAACATTCACTTTTTAATACTTGGTTGCAAATCCTTTGCAGTCAATTACAGCCTGAAGTCTGGAACGCATAGACATCACCAGACGCTGGGTTTCATCCCTGGTGATGCTCTGCCAGGCCTCTACTGCAACTGTCTTCAGTTCCTGCTTGTTCTTGGGGCATTTTCCCTTCAGTTTTGTCTTCAGCAAGTGAAATTCATGCTCAATCGGATTCAGGTCAGGTGATTGACTTGGCCATTGCATAACATTCCACTTCTTTCCCTTAAAAAACTCTTTGGTTTCTTTTGCATTATGCTTTGGGTCATTGTCCATCTGCACTGTGAAGCGGCATCCAATGAGTTCTGAAGCATTTGGCTGAATATGAGCAGATAATATTGCCCGAAACACTTCAGAATTCATCCGGCTGCTTTTGTCAGCAGTCACATCATCAATAAATACGAGAGAAACCAGTTCCATTGGCAGCCATACATGCCCACACCATGACACTACCACCACCATGCTTCACTGATGAGGTGGTATGCTTAGGATCATGAGCAGTTCCTTTCCTTTTCCATACTCTTCTCTTCCCATCACTCTGGTACAAGTTGATCTTGCAAAGTGAAAAAAACAAGAAGTGCACCAACCTTGCGCATTACCTCAGTAACCAAAATTTATTAGTAAAGGAATGGTACTCACAAACAGCGAAAAAAACAGGCATGTAAGTCCTCCAAGGGACTTCAGAGACAAGAGACCAGCGCAAATCCCATCATGGGGGTAGACACTCAGTACAGCTGATGCATTTCGAAGGTCGTACCTTCATCCTCAGAGCTTCCAGTCAGCTCTGAGGAAGAAGGTACGACCTTCAAAACGCGTCAGCTGTACTGAGTGTCTACCCCCATGATGGGATTCGCGCTGGTCTCTTGTCTCTGAAGTCCCTTGGAGGACTTACATGCCTGTTTTTATTCGCTGTTTGTGAGTACCATTCCTTTACTAATAAATTTTGGTTACTGAGGTAATGCGCAAGGTTGGTGCGCTTCTTGTTTTTTTCACTTTGCAGTATTGTTCGGGCTTCCCCAGCCTTGTTTTGGAGCTGCACAACCTTTCATGCTCTGGTGGTCGTTTTGTTTGGGTTTGATTTCACCTACTTGCCACCGGCCTGGGTCCTGGAGTGCAGGAGGAATTGTATTTTGTCCACAAGTTGATCTTGGTCTCATCTGTCCATAGGATGTTGTTCCAGAACTGTGAAGGCTTTTTTAGATGTTGTTTGGCAAACTCTAATCTGGCCTTCCTGTTTTTGAGGCTCACCAATGGTTTACATCTTGTGGTGAACCCTCTGTATTCACTCTGGTGAAGTCTTCTCTTGATTGTTGACTTTGACACACATACACCTACCTCCTGGAGAGTGTCTTTATCTGGCCAACTGTTGTGAAGGGTGTTTTCTTCACCAGGGAAAGAATTCTTTGGTTATCCACCACAGTTGTTTTCCGTGGTCTTCCGGGTCTTTTGGTGTTACTGAGCTCACTGGTGCGTTCCTTCTTTTTAAGAATGTTCCAAACAGTTGATTTGGCCACGCCTAATGTTTTTGCTATCTCTCTGATGGGTTTGTTTTTTTTTTTCAGCCTAATGATGGCTTGCTTCACTGATAGTGACAACTCTTTGGATCTCATCTTGAGAGTTGACATCAAAAGATTCCAAATGCAAATAGCACACTTGAAATGAACTCTGGACCTTTTACCTGCTCATTGTAATTGGGATAATGAGGGAATTACACACACCTGGCCATGGAACAGCTGTGAAGCCAATTGTCCCATTACTTTTGGTCCCTTAACAAGTGGGAGGCACATATGCAAACTGTTGTAATCCATTGTGGTGGTGTATAGAGCCATAAATTTTAGAATTGTGTCGATGTCCCAATATTTATGGACCTGACTGTATATATATATATATATATATATATATATATATATGTATATATATATATACACACACACAAACACGCACTATATTGCCAAAAGTATTGGGATGCCTGCCCTTTCACGCACATGAACTTTAATTGCATCCCAGTCTTAGTCCGTAGGGTTCAATATTGAGTTGGCCCACCCTCTGCAGCTGTAACAGCTTCAACTCTTCTGGGAAGGCTGTCCACAAGGTTTAGGAATGTGTCTATGGGAATGTTTGACCATTCTTCCAGAAGTGCATTTGTGAGGTCAGTCAGACGAGAAGGCCTGGCTCGAATTCTCCACTCTAATTCATCCCAAAGGTGAGGTCAGGACTCTGTGCAGGCCAGTCAAGTTCTTCCACCCCAAACTCACTCATCCATGTCTATATGGACCTTGCTTTGTGCACTGGTGTGCAGTCATGTTGGAACAGTAAGAGGCCATCCCCAAACTCTTCCCACAAAGTTGTGGTATACTGACGCCTTAATAGTTCCCTTCACTGTAACTAAGGGGCCAAGCCCAACCCCTGAAAAACAATCCCACACCATAATTCCCCTCCATTAAACTTTACACTTGGCACAATGCTGTCAGGCAAATACCATTCTCCTGGCAGCCGCCAAACCCTTGCAGCATCCATCAGATTGCCAGACAGAGAAGTGTGATTCGTCACTCCAGAGAACACATCTCCACTGCTCTAGAGTCCAGTGGCAGCTTGCTTTGCACCACTGCATCTGACACTTTGCATTGTACTTGGTGATGTAAGGCTTGTATGCTTCCATGAAGCTCTCTACGCACTGTTGTTGTGCTAATCTGAAGGTCACATGAAGTTTTCAGGTCTATAGCTATTGGCTCTGCAGACAGTTGGCGACTTCTGTGCACTGAGCGCTCCAGCATGTACTAAGCCCAATCTGTCATTTTAAATGGCCTACCACTTGGTGGCTGAGTTGCTGTTGTTCCCAGTTGCTTCCATTTGTTATAATACCACTAACAGTTGACCGTGGAATATTTAGTAGCAAGGAAATTTCATGGATGAACTTATTGCACAGGTGACAACCTAACACGGTACCACACTTGAATTTGTGCTTCTGAGAGCGACCAATTTTTTCAAAAATGTTTGTAGAAGCAGTCTGCATGCCTAGGTGCTTGATTTTATACACTTGTGGCCATGGAAGTGATTGGAACACCTGAATCCAATGATTTGGAGGGGTTTCCCAATGCTTTTGGCAATATAGAATGTATATCTATATATATATCTATATATATATTATACATACATTTTTCTGTTTTTAACAGTAATAACATAAACAGCCAGAAAAAAACAACCACGTTGAGATAGATGTGCTTCTATACCTAGTGTGGTCAGTTTGAAATAGTAAAACAGGCGGACTGGCCGGATCACCAGGCGTCTCAAACATAGGAAGCAATACAAAGCGAACAAGATACTTTTTAACTCAAGTACATGGGACAACAGACACGTATCAGGAAAATGAAATGTTGGGGTAAACATACACTTTAACCATTGAGATACATACATTGAGCACAATCTACCTGCTGGGTTGTTCAGTTTTTAATTCTGACATTGCCGTAGCTCACCTAGTCCAGGCTTTCTTAAACGATAAGTTCACCTTTTAACAAAAAATAATAAATGCACATTTTTTTGACAGGTAAAAAAAATGTATTTATTATTTTTTGTTTGTGGAGCCTCTAAAGCATTGCACTAGCAATCAGCAGATCGCTGGTGCCATGCAGGGCTCCCCTTGACCTTTGAGTATATCTGCTTGCTCGTACACCGTATGTGCAAGCAGATACTTACTGACAGGAAGGCTCAATGAACTACCATGGTGCTATGGTGATACTCCATTAAAAATTACAAGCCAACAAGCAACAAAGGCTGCTGGGACTTGTAATTTTCCCATTCACAGAACACTGTGAATGAGTGACGCAGCCGGATGAGCGGAGCTGCATTTTTAAAAAATTGTGAAAGCTAGTGGGGAGGAGGAGATCCCCCGCTATCTGTGACAATGGGGATTGGGGGGGGGGGGGTTGCGGGGCCCAGTCCAATTGTAACATGTTACACCCTGAATATGAATGTAATATGTTACGAAAGTTGAACGTATTCTTTAACTTTTTAAACCCAGTGCAACCCCAAATATGATTTTTCTGGTTCCAGGGTAACCTTACTAAAACCAAGGCACCAGGGTTCAATGGGAAAAGAGCTAACTACATTGATGGTCAGTAGGAAGAATGCAACTCAGACAGCTAAAAAGATAATTGGTCTCACACAATGCTGGCTTTGGCCCTGGAACTATGCAGGCATCAAATGGGAGGTCAGTCAGCTACAGTTCAAGAAACCTCTAGAATCCTTTGGAGGAACCCTGGTTGAGAATGGCTGATCTAGTCCCTTTTCTCTGTAATCTGCAAATTCTCCCATTGCTACCTCAAACACAAACAGAAAGCCCAATGTAAAAATCCGACTTAAATCAACCTTGATATTGTTTTATAATTCTCTGTTTAGACTTCATCCTGCCTTAAGAATTTGGTTGTCATTTATGATACAGGAAGCAAAAAGAGTAGCCATACACAACTCAAATTTCAGCCCGTTCCTGCTGAATTGGCCAAAATGTGAGCTGTGGGATGCCCTGTTGGGGTAACATCTGGCTCAACAAGCTTTCATTGAATAATCAAAGAAGCCAGGTGTAGAATTCTTGGGCAAGTAGTGACTGTATCCTATCAGATTCAGTCACCGTTCGGGTCTTCAGATAGCCGTTGAGCTGCAGCTGTCTGCATAGAATAGATAGCGCCATTTAGCATGTATAGAGAAATATACTATATTGCGAAAAGTATTAGGACACCCCTCCAAATCACTGGATTCAGGTGTTCCAATCACCTCCATGGGCGCAGGTGTATAAAATCAAGTATGTAGGCATGCAGACTGCTTCTACAAACATTTATGAAAGAAAGGGTCGCTCTCAGGAGCTCAGTGAATTCAAGCGTGATGGGTTGCCACCTGTGCAATAAGTCCATCCATGAAATTTCGTTGCTACTAAAATTTCCACAGTCGACTGTTAGTGATATAACAAAGTGGAAGGAACTGGAAACAACAGCAACCCAGCCACAAAGTGGTAGTCCACATAAAATGACAGAGCGGGGTCAACGAATGCTGAAGCGCACAAAGCAAGGTCCATAAAGACATGAATGAGCGAGTTTGGGGTGGAGGAACTTGACTGGCCTGCATAGAGTCCGTACCTCAACCCAATAGAACATCTTTGGGATAAATTAGAGTATTCGATTCACCGCACATGCCTATGTGTACGATACCACCGCCATCCTACTGGCCATGTGCAGTGTGTGGTTACAGCTGCAGGTGATTAGAGGGAATTGTAGCCCACACTTTTCTTTTTCTTTTTAGATAGAGTACATAAAAGTTAGAGCCCCCTGCCAGATTAGTTTTTGTGTTTAATATATTTTTATTGAAACATAGAGATTTGGGTACAGAAAAATTAAAAGGGGGAGGGGAGGAGGGGATTAAACAGTGAGAATAATTTAAAAACAGGACGTGTCATTTGTCCAACACAGCTACTTTTATACTTAGACATGAACAGTATTAATAATAATACAGATTCAAGAGGACTGAAGCAGCGAATAACTTCCAGCTATTAAAAAACCAAAGAAAATAGGCTACATACCGAAAAGGTTAACCTCAAAAAACATGTTTATTATCTCATGAAACCATACAAAGTAAAAACACAGTGCGTCCAGGATCCTTAAACCACTCCCAACCATGAAAACCCCCACCCTTGACTTAGGGGGACCTCCCACAATCAGCCCCTGTAGATGGTATCAAAGAGTGTCCAAAGTGCCCTAGTGTGTGCATACAGCACCCAAACCTCCCTTACAGGCCAACCCCCCTCCCCCAACACCTCAATACCAATGGTCAATAAATCTCCTTATGAGGGGGACTGTAAATTAGACCAAAATGAAAAAGTGAAGAGGGAGAAAACTGGGGAGTAACCTGTTAAAGGGATGAAATCAACTCGGACCTTGTAGGTGAGGAAGTCGATTGTGGAGCTTATGTTTTTCCCAATTGTCTGATTCCTCAGCCTGCATTTCCTCCATTAGCATGATATCATTAATGATATCCACCCATAAAGTTAGTGGTGGGGTGGTCGTGGTTTTCCAGAATTTAGAGATAAGCTGTCTCACAGCTGATAGAAGAAATCTCAGTAGGCAAGACTTTTGAGATTTAATAGTGCCCTGTAGAATAGACACTAAAGCTATTTTGGGAGAGAATGGAAAAGACTCATCATAAATCTTGTTAAATATTTGAAATACCTGAGTCCAGAATGGACGGATTTGATCACAATCCTACCAGATATGAAGGTATATCCCTCTTTCATTGTGCCAGCGCCAGCAAATATCAGTTGAAGAGGTGAAAATCCTGTGAATAGATACTGAATCTCAATACCATCTAGAGATCAATTTAACATTTTTCTCTTGAGCATAGGCAGAAAGAGAAGATTTGTGAATAAACAAAAAAGCTGTTTGCCAGTCTTTAGGGCAAATCTCAACTTCCAGATCGACCACAGTCTAGAGTAAGTGGGTAAAACCTGGTGAGTGTGGTGTAAAATAATTTTATATATCTGTGACAGTGAGTGACGGAGTGCTTTGGTACTAAGGCAGAGTTTTTCAAAGTCTGTTAAGGATCTATGTATCTGTTTTGCGTTATGTATAGTTTGACAGTATATAGATATGCATAAAGTCGTCAACCAGTCCATCATTCCAAAGACACTGTTGTCAGACAGCCGAAAGGATCCTAAGGTAGAATGTAAAAAAAGAACGTGCCGTGGGCCAAAATAATTGCTCATAAGAGCCATAGGTTGAAACGCCTTTGCTCTCTGGTAAAACCGGATTGTCAAATAAAGGAGTGAGTGGGCATGGGTCAGTTGTAAGGGAGTAAGAGTCTCATTAATGGTATCAAAAGTGAAAGAGAGGCCACCGTCAAAGGTGAAAATGAAGACATGGTGTGGTTTGATATCATAGCCCCATAACAGTGCTGTAGATCAACCGGTGACTTGTCTTGTTCGATGATTGTAGAGGTTTTCACTAGAGGACTTAGAACCATTCCAAGATTCGGGAGAATAAAGCTGATGCGTGGTATAGCTCAAAGTCTGGAAGGCCCACTCCTCCTTCAGATTTAGGGTAGCATAAAAGTTTATGTTTCTATTTAGATGGATGATGTTGGCAGATGAACCGTATGGCAAGAGAACGCAGGGTCTGGAAGAAAGCTACTGGGAGTTTAATCGGTATTGTTTGGAATAGATATAGTAATTTTGGTAATATATCCATTTTTCACTTATTCGCTCAAACCAGGAAGTTTTTAAATAATGCCAAGATTCTAAAGATCTTCTAATTTTAGTAAGTAAAGGGCTGTAGTTAAGGGAGTATAACTCCTGGGTGCACACTGGAATTTCTGTACCTAGGTATGTGATAGACTTAGCTTGCCATTTGAAAGAGAAATTGCTTTTAAGAGAGGAAAGGACGGACTTGGGTAAGGAGATATTCAAAGCTTCGGTTTTGGCCATATTCAATTTAAAATTGCTAAATGATCCAAATCTATGAAGTTCATGTAAAAGAGAAGGACTGCTATGAGGTTGAGTTACATATAGCAAAAGGTCGTCCGCATATAAAGACAATTTACAGTGAGAGGATGGTGTGTGGATACTTTTTATAGAGTTGGTATTACGAATTGCGTGAGCTAAATGTTCTATGAGTATTATAAATAAAAAAGGGGGGAAAGGGGGCATCCCTGTCTGGTACCATGCCAGATTAGTTTTTGCTGTGTGCAGTTGATTGAAATTTCCCTTAACCTCCTGTTAAAAATACAAGAAGCGGTAGGAATGGAAGGAAATCTTCTTTCACACAATTGTCAATGGAACAAATGTCACCATTTGACAAATTCTCCTTAGTTTTTGTTTTGATGACAACTTAAAATTTTGGATTTTACAGCTCTTCCAATGACAATGGTTACCAGTACAACTAAAAAGGGTGAATCTTCCCAGTCAAGACAAAGACAGCAATAAAAATTGACAGGGGTTCTAATGTTTCCCCAGTCCATCTAAAAAAAAAATCTGGC